CCATCCCTCCCTGTGGTCCTTCTCATTTTTTACTGCCCTCTCTGGACCTTTTCTATTTTTGCTCTGCTTTCTCTGAAGTTATATGAGCAGCAACAGTGAAACATTCAAGGACAGACTAATTTATATTCTCCTAAAATTATATTTTTTTCCAAAACCACTCTAAATTGCATTTTAATATGTGTGTGTGTGGGCATTTTACCACTGCTGCCCTCTGAACAGATGCTATAATGGAGCTTTGTGCTAATAGTTCCTAAATCTTTTTTTCTTAAAGTACCTAAACCTTTTTTTCTCAAAAAGCTGTAGCTAGTTGGAAAGTCATCTATTCTCAAGAGCAGTTGATGTTATTCCTTCCAATACACATTCCTTTGGTTCTGACTCCCAATTAGGAAGATATGGCTTTTCCCAACAACAATGAAGAAACATTACTTTTGGTGGGTCAGGGTTATTAGAGTTTGTCATTGGCTTTACTCAGAGGGATAACAGAAAGCAAGTTTCCCCTTGAAGACAGCCAAACAGACACAAAGGCAGGCACAGTGATTTGTCTCTGAATTTTAGCATAGCATGCTAGTCAACAGGGGAGTAAAAACATTATTTCTCACATTTACAGAATATCACTTAACATTCACGGTATAGTTCAACTGTAACATTCCCACGCTTTAACATGCTAGCAAGGGAATCCTTAATGGAATTCTAAGAGGAATTGAGAATCTTCTCTTCTGTGGCTCAACAAGGTTAATCCCAGCTAACTTTCAATAAACAGAAATTTATTGTGGTAATAAAGTTTTATTTTTCGCTAAAAGGTTTGATCTATTTTTAGAAAAATACTCCTAAACAAAGCAATGCTGAACAAATGGGACTGTAGACTCAGCTGCTCCTATTTCATCTCCATGTCTGAGATACCACGTCTCTTTGTGGCTCAATCCTATTAATACTTCTCCACCCTTCACTTACTGTGTGCAGAATCTGATACTTTTCATCTCTCCCTCCTCCTTAAAACCCACACTCCCCTTGGCTTCCAGACATTACATCCCATCAACCTCCTGACTACTCTTCCCACCCTTGAGTCAGTCCATGGAGACAACTCTCCCAATGCATGCACCTATCAGCTGCCACTCTCCATGCTCTGCATCCTTTCTTTTCTCTCCTTAAAGGACCTCCTCTTCTACCTGGATGGCTTCTACTATCACCTATGTATTATACTTCTTTCTTGGATGTCTCGGAGGCATTTCAAACTCTCAGTATTTAAAATCATAAACTCCTAATACTCTCCATAAAGCCTGCTCTTCTATTTTTATTCCGTCATGGTGAAGAGTGATATGTTATATGCACCAATCACTCAAGCCAAAATCCAGGGAATAATATGCAGGTGTGTCCTCTCTGGAACTCCTCCCATGTCGTCAGTCACCAATTGTACTGATTCTACTACTTTAGTATTTCTGAAGCCATTCCTCTCCTTTCATCTCACTGTCACAATCTTAGCTCAGATTTACATCTTAATACTGTAGCTACAGAGAGGTTTCTCAAACTCAGACTTGGCCTTGTTTCTCTCTCTCTCTTTCTCACAACATTCAGTAATTCCTTGCTGCCTTCAAGAAACCTCCACAGCACAACATCAGGCTCCCTGATGAATGTCAGGCCCATGATTACCTCTCCAATTTTATTTCATGACACTGGCCCTTTACACTAACAGTGGGCATCTTCAAATGACTCTGTACCCATGCAGACACTTCTTCCCCAGTTGGCAATGCCCACTAACACTCACACCACACCCAAATTCTGGACTGGTGAAGGTCTACCAATTGGCTAAATCTTATCAGGTGCCTGTCCTATGTGCTAGGACATATTCATGTTATACCAAGGCAGTGTTCACATGAAATTACTGTTCTTTAAATGTGAATATATTTGCCTTTCCCCTAGATGGTGAATTCCTTGAGATGAGAACCATATTTTATTGGTCCTCCCACTTTCAGTGCCTACTACAGCCTCTGGAATATAGAAAATTTTTTTCTTACCAAATCAAACAATAAATGCTTTTATTAATGAATAAATTACCCAAATTATTCTCAAAGAAGAAATTCCACATACTAACATCTGCCAATGGCAAGGGTAAAGGAAGACAGGACTATGACAACATATTACCTTATCATTAATTATTTGTGTTAATAGAATCAGTGACATATAAAGGCCAATGAATGAATCCTCAGCATCACAAAACATACTACATATTAAGCCTCGTTGCTTTGAAACTTAGTCATCTAAGATTCTGTGCTACACACAGCAACAATGAAGAAATATGCATAACGGTCCTAGAAGCAAGTTGTAAGAAAAGTAAATGCAAATGGATGATTGATCTTTGATATAGGTCATTCCCAGAACAATCACAACTCTCCCACCCCAGCTCAGGGTGGCCAAGGTTGCAGCTTCTCTCAGTTTTGAGCTGGATGGGGCAGCCAACAATAAGCACAGCCTTCCCATGCCCACCTGCTAATCCCACACGTTTTTCCCTGCTTGGAAATGTGATGCCAGTGAAAGAAGGGATTTCAAGTAACCAGATGGCAAATGGGGAGTAGTAAGTCCTGTAGGACCCTACCAGCTTAGAAGAGTTCTCTTATAAAAGACAGGATGCCCTCAGGAAAACCTGGTTCCCAGAACAACTGCAGAGAGAGAAGCCTTCACTGTGAATCAGAAACCCACTTGCTGGATTCTGAATAAAAAATAAATTTCTTCTGGGGCACCTGGGTGGTGCAGTCAGGTAAGCATCTGATCCCTGGTTTCGGCTCAGGTCATGATCTCAGGGTAATAAGACTGAGCCCCACGTTGGACTCTGGACTCAGCATGGAGTCTGCTTAAGACTCTCTCCCCCCCCACCCCACCCCCCAAAAAAAAGACTCTCTCTCCCTCTGCCTCTGCCCCCACCAACCCCCCACACTGGTGCAATTGTACACTCACCCTCTCTAAAAAAAAATAATAAATCTTTTTTTAAATAAATAAATAAATTTCTTCTGTGATAAGTCACTGAAATGCTGAGATTTATCTGTAACAGCAGCTACCATCTTTGTGGTCAGAATCCACACCCATAATCATTAGTCCAAACATCTATTCCTAACATTAAACTCAAATTTCTCGGGGATCCCTAGGTGGCTTGGAAGTTTAGCGCCTGCCTTTGGCCCAGGGTGTGATCCTGGAGACCCAGGATGGAGTCCCACATCGGGCTCCCTGCATGCAGCCTGCTTCTTCCTCTGCCTGTGTCTCTGCCTCTCTGTGTCTCTCATGAATAAATAAATAAAATCTTAAAAAAATAAATTAAAAACTCAAATTTCTCATTTCCTCCTTCTCCTTTACCAAACTTATTCCCACTATTTATCAGGAATTATTTCCTGTCCCTCCCAGGCCAAGTTGAGTTTCTTTCCTATGTGTTTCTGGAGCACCTTACTTCTCATAATTAACATAACCATATGATTGTTTGCCTCCTCAACTCTACGGTCAACATTTTGAGGGTAAAGACTGTGTTTTAATCTCTGTATCCTTTGTGTGTCTGCCTGGCACTCAGGAGGAGTCTCTTATAAGAACATAGGGATGAATGAATAAATAGGGATTTTTCATATTAAAAATATGAAGGCCTAAAGGTGATGTGATCCAAGTCTTTAAAAGGATGGAGAAGCTAAATTGGGAACTTTTTAAAATTAATCCTTAGAAAAAGAAAAATAAGAAGAAACTGTTAAAGGTTGAAAGGGTTTTGAAGATTTAAGGACAAGCAAAAGAAGGCTTTACTGAGTAGTTTAATAAAGTTAAAGTTCTTAGAAAGTGATAGGGGATATAAAAAAAAATTGGTAAAAAGTCACTAAAGGTAACTTGGTTTGTTTAGAGTACAGTCTAAATCTGCTGAGGCTGATCATAAAGAAAAACATTGAGCCTTTTTAGAACACATCCCTTAGGGATGCCTGGGTAGCTCAGTAGTTGAGTATCTGCCTTTGGCTCAGGTCATGATCCCAGGGGTCCTACGATTGAGTCTTGCATCAGGCTCCCCACATGGAGCCTGCTTCTCCCTCTTCCTATGTCTCTGCCTCTCTCTGTGTCTCTCATGAATAAATAAAATCTTTAAAAAAAATAAAAGAATGTATCCTTTAGATCCCTGGAGGACAGGAGACATTTAAAGGACCTCTTTTGGGCAGCCCGGGTGGCTCAGTGGTTTAGCGCCGCCTTCAGCCCAGGGCGTGATCCTGGAGACCCAGGATCGAGTCCCACATCAGGCTCCCTGTATGGAGCCTGCTTCTCCCTCTGCCAGTCTCTCTCTCTCTCTCTCTCTCTCTTATCTCTCATGAATAAATAAACAAAATCTTAAAAAAATAAAGCACTTCTTTTGTAATGATATATCATTTATATATCATATTATACTATTATTATAATAAACATATTATAATGATGATGTTGCTTCATACTCCACCAGTTAACGTCCCATGACAATTCAACTCAGTGCCCCCACCCACTGTGCATCAGCATTTAGAGCACCTATGCAAAGCCCAAAGTGGGAAGTAGGTAACCAAAAAGGGGGCTAGAGAGCCACCCAGCTCTTTGCAGAGCATTCTTTTTACCTCCTTCACCTTCCTGCCTCCAGAACTTTCCTGGGCAAGCCAAAGAAGTATTACAAAGCCTACATGACTCACAGAAATAACCAACATTTTCACTTCCAAAACTCTCTCCTCTCCAATCCTGGGAAATCCCACATAAAGAAATAACTAGACTAATCAAAAGTCTGACTATTTCAATGACTTCTATTTACTCTATAAAAACTTTTAAAATACAGATCATAAATGACAGCTGGGTTTTATTCATCCCTGACCTTTCCATTGCTTTCACTGGTTCAAGACATCTAACTTTCATCTGCAAAGACATGACTGATCTAAAGGAAACTAAAGCATACAACAGACGTTTCCCTTTTGCAGAAACAATATTTAACCTTTAACTCAGAACTTCTGAAAGATTTAAAGTGCTGTACTCACCTGCAGCTGGGATATAGTTAAAGGGTATCGGAATAATATCCAGGTAACACCTTCGCTGCAAGGTGGAATGGTAAGAGAACCTTCATACACCCAATAATCCCGCAGCAAAGGATCTGTGCAACCATGTGGACATGTCACAGAAAAGTTAGTTAATTAACAATAATTGTGAATATTTCAACAATAATTCTCAAAGTTACAAATTGTCTGAACAACACTTTTCAGGATGAGGTCATTTTAAAGTACAGCCTCACACATGAATTCTTAAACTAATCATCACCGAGAAAATAACCAATGGGAAAATATGATGAACCCTCTATTATTTATAGTGACTTCCATCTAGGTATCACTATGTAATCCAAAGGTGGCTATAAAACTTGATATATACATATATGTGTGTAAGTATGTATCAAGTTTAGTCACTTTAGAAAAAGTGTATCTGTGATATGTTTTACTTTATTGAAGGATTTACTTGACTTATTCACACCTAATCCAATACTTACTACATGTGAGGCACCATTCTAAGCATTTTACATGAACTCATTTAACCCTCACAACAAACCCACAAGACAGGTACTATTATCAGCCCCATTTTTCAGATGGGGAAACTGAACGACAGAGGGTTACATAACTTACTCACTCAACTAATAACTGGCAGAGCCAGGATCCAAACCCAAGCAGTCTGACTTCAAAGTCTGTTTTTCTAACTATTCGGTTCTAGTTATCTCTGAGATAATTAAAAATAATTAAAATATGAAAATAGTATTTTAAATATTATTAAAATATTAAAGTCCTCGTATGATAGGACAAAAGAAAGCATTCCTACGAAATCTTTTAGCTCTGCATTAGAGGCATTCACAATCCAATACGATGGATAAATGTTCAACACATGACAAAAACTGGTTTGTTCTAGAGCAATTAAACATAGGGCATAGAAGATACAATGCATCAGCACATTTGGTTTTGATCAAAAAACTAAGTAACAGCACATAATTTAAGCAGAACAAAGTGAAGACCAAAATCTTGCACAAAACAACCTTTAACTACAAACTATGTTTTGAATATTTTATACACAATTCTTATATGTTTAGGTATGCCGAGGTAATTAGACTAACACTTATATGATAGTATCACTGCAAAGGGTTATTTCACTCTAGAGATTAGTAAGAACCTCACTGACCAATCCTAGAAGTATATCAAAGTATTGTTATTACGCTCTTGCTGTACACAGAGGTAGCGATTTTTGCAAATGAAAATCCAAAGGAAACTCTTCAGAGAATAATGGCAAAAGTGACAAAACATTTATTACTTCAAAATGTTTACTCTCATATTTAGACCAATCAGAAACTGATACCTACTACAGAGAAGGCGAATTGTAAAGAAACTTTATTAACTAATAATATATCATTACATGCATTTTGAGGGAAACAATGCAATCATATTCACCCAATTACAATTCATCTTATGCGATAAAGATAACACGTACCTGGTAATAAAGTGTTAGGATTAAAGCAGGGTATTGTTTTGGACTTCCCCTGAAAAAGAAAAAAAAATCACCCTATGTTAACATAAAATTTCTTAATTTTAGAATAAAAAACATTACTAGCACTAAAAACCCAGATTGATGCCTTTTCTGAGTAACATCCTGGACCAGATGGGTCTGTAGGTATCTCACTCTGTCCTCTCACCAGAGCCAAAGCACCTGGTTCCAACAAGACACTCCTGTTCTGGGTCTGTAGCTATTTCTTTGCTACTACAGTTTGATTTTCCCTATAATTCCTGGAGTAAAACTTCCAGTTGTCTGCCTAGTGTCTATCTGGCCCACGCCAGCTACTTTTCCTGCTCTGAGCACATCCACACCAGAAACTTGGGCTTTTGGTGTAAAATGCCTGAACCCTGGTTCAGAGAATTCTTTTGAAATGACCTTCCTCCTGCTACTCTGACCTCCACTCCTAACCTTCTTGGCATCAGAACTTGTCTCCTAAATTTGCATTTTGTTTCATTTGCATTTGATAACTTGTCTCTATGTTCTAGATGTCCTGTCCTCCAGAGAGTGAAAACTAACACCAGAATGAAAACATTCCATTCTATGGGCGCCTGGGTGGTGTAGTCGCTTAAGTGTCTGACTCTTGTATTTGGTTCAGCCCATGCTGCACTGTGCACTGGGCATGGAGTCAGCTTGAGATTCTCTCTCCCTCTCTCTGCACCTCCAGCCTGCACTCTCTCTCTCACGTAAATAAATAAACCTTAAAAAAAAAGAAAATATTCAATTCTAATCGACTTTTATCAAAGCTGCATTTAAACTTCAATAAAATTAAAATAAATAACTCCAGAGGCACCTGGGTGGCTCAGTTAAGCATCTGCCTTCGGCTCAGGTCATGCCCCGGGATCCTGGGATTGGGCCCCACATCAGGCTCCCTGCTCCTCAGAGGGCCCGCTTCACCCTCTCCCTCTGCCTGCTACTCCTCCTGCTTGTGCTCTCTATGTCTCTCTTAGAGATAATATCTCTAGAAATAATATCTTAAAAAATAAAAATAACTTCAATAAAATATTTGTGCCATTACTCAACAGTTCACATTTGCGATCACTATTTTAAATAGTGCCACTTAAATTGCTCAGGCCCTTGAGGCAAAAAGATTTGTCACAGTAGTTAGAGATCTCTTTTATTACTCTATCAATGCAGACATAACAGGGCAAGTGAATGCGTAACCTCTTAGTCTCTTTCTTACTTCCACTTGACACATTAAAGAATCCAGCTCACTTGCTTCCCACCAGCCCCCTATATTCCATAAAAAAGAATGTTGTATGAGCTGAAGGAATAAAAGAACGTTTCTGAAGCCATTAAGACAAATGTCAGTCAAAATGTACCCTTCCCCCTCCTTACCAGGTTTTTGACTAGTCTGTGTCTTCTCTTGGTAGCTGGATTTATTCTAAGCCTGCCTGGGAAATCTATGGTGGATGTTCTTGCCTGGTCCAAGACGCCCTGGGCTTGTTCTAGCTTAGAGCTAATCAAACTTCATTCTCATTGATTTTTGGATTGGCCTTGGGTCTTTGGATCTCTGCACTGTATCTCTCATAGCCATTCAGGATTAAACTACTGCCCTCCAAGGCCTCTCCGATTCAATCCATCCAATATAAGCATAGAAAGTACTGGTTGTAACAGAACTGGGCTTCCAGGCAAAGCTGGGCTGAATCACGCCAGAGTCGCATCAAACCAAATCACTTTCTCTGAGATATAGGATCTTACAGCTTACATGTATTTGTCTTTTTTTCTTTTTTTAACATAAATGCTTTGAAGTATAGTTGCCATAATTTTAATTTGTTTCATTTACACAACTTTCCTATAACCAGTGGGCAGGAAGGGTTAACTCAGCAGGCTTGGGTTGTTCAAAAAGATGTCTGTCTTGAGGACTGGCTCCGAGGTCTCACAACATTCTGTCTGACAAGAGTGTTTTTGTATCCTAAGGCCTTGGGCTATGCTTGGGCTATGTTGGACCAGATTGGTTTATCCTGACAATGTGACTTATGATGACAGCTTGGTTTTGCTGGGGCTGGGAGCAGGAGGGATGGCGTCGGAGCAGCTGAGGGTCATTACACAGACACTGCGTGCTCTTATAGCTGACCCCTAATAAAATCCCTGTACACGAAGCAAGGCTTCTCTGGTTGGTAACATTTCACACATATCGTGGCATATCACTGCCAAAAGACTGAGGTTCATCCCTGTGTGATTCTACTGGGAGGAGACAACTGGAAGCTCGTGCCTGGCTTCTCTTGGACTTTACCCCACGTACTTTTGCACTGACCTCATTTTTACACGTGGGTCCTTCCTCTGGAATAAATTACAACCATGAGAATAGCTACCCTCTGAGTGAATCATCATATCTGAGAGTGATCTTGGGGACCTCTTTCAAGACCAGTGTTTCTATTTGCTTTTAAACAATAACTTACCTTGTACTGAATATCCTGGAGGATTTCGGTCACAGCCTTCAAGCCTACGTGTTCTTTTCCTATCTGAAATGCATAAAGTATAAACCATACCACAACAATTTTTAAATACTTAGCTTTCATTCAAAATAACTAACAGAAAGTGAAACTCAAGTTTCCCTGAATTGCCTTCTCAGGGAATAAGTAAATGATCATTTTATTAATAACCACATCAATAGCCACATAAGGCAATTGAAGGTGTAAGAGAGGCTAATATAAGAACCTATTAGTTCTTAGACAGCTTTAAGAATTCATTCTAAATACACCTTGCTGTGTATAGATTATCACCCACTGTGCTATATACAGTTAACCCCTGACCGATGAGGGAGTTAGGGGCACTGACTCCTGTGCCATTGAAAATCATATATATAGGGATGCCTGGGTGGCTCAGCAGTTGAGTGTCTGCCTTCAGCTCAGGGAGTGATCCCAGGATCCGGGATCAAGTCCCACATCAGGCTCCTTACAGGGAGCCTTCTTCTCCCTCTGCCTATGTCTCTGCCTCTCTCTGTCTATCATAAATAAATAAATAAAACCTAAAAAAAAGAGAGAGAGAAAGAAAATTACATATATATAATGTCTGAGTCCCAAAAACTTAACTACTGATAGCTTATTGTTGACTAAATGCCTCACTGATAACACTAGTCAATTAACACGTATTTTGAATATTATTATGTATCATATGCCACATTCTTACAAAAAAGTGAGATAGAAACAAAATGTTATTAGGAAAGTCAGAAGAAGTAGAAAATACATTTACACTACTGTAAAAAAATTCATGTATAAGTGGATCCACGCAGTTCAAAGCCATGTTTGTTCAAGGGTCAATTGTGTATCAGATGATATAATACTGTGATATAAACATTTCAAGGATACTTCTGAATTAAAATTGCTCATCACATTCCAAACCCTTTCATTTTTACCTTTGGCATTTCTAGACCATTGTTATAAAGACTGTATCTATGCTGAAATATTTAATAATTCAGAAAAGTAAGATTGTGATTTCATATGTTAAAGTCACCAACATCAGGACATCTCTTGATTACTACTGGATATAACTGTATAATTCTATTCTTAAATACATCAGAATATGCTGTTCATAGCCTTCTATTTTAAAATACTATATATCATTATATATTTTTAGCATATAAAATGCTCCAAAGTGTGTGAGACTTCAAAGAAATTTGACACTAAGTATTCTTGACTTTAACTGTGAAAATTCTAAAGGCCACCTGATTTCTATGTTCCAACCAGGTTTCAATGGCCCCTGACAATGGAGGACAATAATAAGAAATATATTTTAAAATCTTAGATAAACAATGTTATCATTTGCTTTTTCTCTTCCATATAAATTTGTGCAGGATGTCCTATAGGAGCTAGAAAAGCTGCCAACGTGTCCACACTCTCAGTTTCTCTCCACATGCACCAAATATGAAATGTGCCAGCCGAAGGGGCAGCAGAGAGAAGGGAAAAGAGACAAGAAACTTACATAATCTAAGATAAGCAATTCAAAAACAGTCAAGACTTCTACTGTTTCTTAAGTGTCTGCAATTCCTCAGACTGGCGTTAAAGATGGAAAATGAATTCTCTGAAGTTAAAAAAGTAACATGTAAGGCAAATGTACTCTTGAGTGCAGAAACCTAGGCATTAGCAGAAGCCTCTGCCAATCTGCAAGGGCAATGGACCTCTCTTCATTGTACTGCTTTAACCATGATGTAGAATTTGGAGGATGACGCCTCAGTTGGCATCTGTTTTCCTTTCATGTATCTTCTGTCAGATTACAGCTCTTTGAAGAATCCTTATCTGAATGTTGTAAGGCCACATACTGTAGTAGTTTGGGGGCAAGGCCACTTACACTGGATGCCCAGGATTCTGATCTGGACTCAAGTTTTTAGCCTTAAGCAAGTTAACTTCTATGTCCTTCTGCTTCCTCATCTATACAGTGGGGGAGAGCAGGCAGGCGGGTAAAGTGACAGGGGTTGAAGGTAAGACTCTAACAAGGACCTTAGAAGAGGGCATGGACCTTCCTAATTCAATTAATATCATCCATTATTATCCTTACTTGGCATCAGGTACAGGTACAGTTTTTACATACAGTAACACTTAACTATCACTGGCTCCTCCTTCTATAAAGATTCCATACTTTGTGGGCAAGAGTTTTAAACCTGCAACAAACTCCAGCTATTGCTCCATCTCTTCTCTTTCCTTCTTTGCCAGATTGCTGTAGGAAGAGGTTATAAACACCAAAGAGCAAGTACAGATGAAACTCTGTACAGCCCAGTCCCCAGAATTCTAGAGCAGTCCAGGTGATAACAGCCTGGAGCCAAGAATGTGCCAACAACCATGAGACCAACACCTCCTTCCCTCTCACCTTGGCCATCCTTCGCTGCCATCCAAAACACAAACCATCAGCCCTGCCCAGCCCTGGCCCTGTGTTTTTCAACTTCTCACTCTATCTCACCTCATTCCGCTGTGCCCTCTGGAACAGGATGTTGCCCATCTCTGCCAAGCTCTACCACCACCTGTTGGTCTGCGCGAACCCCTCATGTCTGCTCAAGGCACAGCTCTCCCGGGCCTTAAGAGCGGACACTGGGCCATTTCCTCCAGGGACAGGGCTGAAGGCTGTGGTCAGTGGCCTGCTGTCACCCACTGGTGGATACTCTGCCCCACGGGCACAAGGCCGTCCTTTTCTGGGTGGACCATCCTCCTCAGATACCACCACGCTCTACTTGTTGCAAAATAATGCTGTCACCAAGTTTTTTAAAAATGACCTGCTGGCCACTCCCTGATAGTCATCACCTCCCGCTGCTACTATGGAGGACTTCAACACCCTGGAATGCAGCTTGACCGCCCCTCAGTTCGTGGCTTTCAGCTCCATTCCACCTCAGCACCCAACCTGGGAACACACCCTGAATTTGTTTTCACTCTGAAAACTTCAGCTCCGAAGACCATTCCCTCTGAGCACAGCTTCTCATGCATCAGCTCTTACCCTCTTTTCTCTCTCTCCACTCACTGATCTAAGGAGCCACGGTTCAGGAGCATCTGGGCTTTGTCTCCTTCCCTTCCCACCTACCTGAACGACACCTCTCCAACCACCCTCAAGGCTCTAACCCTGTGTCTTCCAAAATCATCTGCTCTGCAAGAGATCAATGCAACAATTTGCTAGAATCTTCTACTCTTTAACTTGGATAGAGACAATCAACAGTATCCTGTTCCGTACAGTCTGTGATGTTCAGTCACAAGTGGGTCTCCCACACTGACTGTAAAGTCTATCATCGTTCCCTTCCTGGGCTATTTCAAAACCCAATCATCCACCCATGCTTCCCCCTTACACTATAAATAATTTTGCTTTGTAGGTCTCAGAGATAAGGCCATCAGGCATGAGCTCTTCTAATTTCCTGCCTTTCTTCACCTTTAAATTCATCCCATTTCTACCCATGTTTTCTTCCTGACCCTCTATTTTGGAGAAAGGGTGGGTGCCCCCTCCTATCCGGGGTTAGGCTAGCCACAAAACTCTCCATTCAGCATCCTCCTGTCTCCTCTAGGACTCTTTCACATCAACTATCCCTTCCCCCCCCCCCAGTATTTTTAAACTCTGAGTCTGCACTAGTGCTTTTTGCTCAGAATAAAAATACAGGCAGATCGCAGATTCTTCAAAGAAACAAAGAGGACATTCCTGTACATCAGCACGAGTTATTACCCCATCTGTGTTTCTTTTCTTGAGCCACGTTTCTCAAAAGAGAAACCTGTGCACATTGCCTCTGCCTCCCCGCTCCCATTCCCCTTCTCCTGCCCAAGTGTGAGAGCCCCAGATGGACGTCAGACCCACTCCGCTCTGCTTCAGTTGACCCTCCTTATCAGTCCTCCTTTCCTTCATGAACTTCCGCTCTCAGAGTTTCTGAAACCTTCCTCTCTCCTAGATCACCGGAACATCTCCTCACAGCAAACCTGGGGCCAATTAGAACAAGTGTGCATGCTCTCAGGCTTCCCCTTGCCTACAACGATGTGCTTCTTCCTGGACTAGTGATGCAAGTCCCCAGAATCCTGGCTTTCCAATCTAGTGCTCCATCAGCCCCCACCTGTAATAGGCTAAGGATCACTAAGTGAAAATATTCTAATACTTAATTCCATCCACAAATATTTATTGAATACCAACTCCAGAGATGAAACTAACATGTTCATGTTCCTTCTAGATATGACTGCTCGGTTATTTGTACTATTTTATTCATATTTTATTATTTTTTAATAACAAGACATTGCCTTCTACTTCTATAGCCTCAACTTCTCAATTTTGGGTGCTTTATTAACTTCTTCAGGTCACAAAAATGGACTTCAGCAGTTACTACTTTTGTGCACTAAAGATTATCAAAATGTATGTGTATATTTAAAAACATTTTTACCGATATCTTGATACTGTGATTCCATTCTATTTATATAAAGCAGTTATAAAATAGAAGGAATATAGGCCCTTGCTTAAAAAAAAAAATAAAAGCCATGAAGTGAACATTAAGAAGGTTCACTTAAAACTCTAAGAATTTGCTTTTAAATTCTATGACCTGTCATACTTTCAAGATACCGGTTGTAAAATATTAAAAGGCTAAAACCAGGTGACTGCTTCCAACCGTCAATAGACAAATACCTGAGAAAGAAATTTATAATGGAAAATTGTTGTACTTAATAATACTATTGAAATATGTACCACACAAAAGAAAGCAGGTTTGCAAAGGCCCAATTCTCTTTGGAAAATTAAGTTACTAATGATCACTATGCTAATATTACTACTCCAGGCCCACGTTTTCCAGGAAGCAGCCTGGAACCACACAGAGTTACAGAGTTACAGCAATGGTTTCTGACCCTTGACAGTGACTGTGTGTGACTGTGAACAGTGACTGACCTCTCTGGCCCTTGGTTTCTCTCCTGTAGGATAGGGAAGGCAGGGGGAAAGCAGGGTCTCTTCCATCTCTTCATCTTTTAGGACATCCAACAGATGATAAGACAAAGGTAAAGAGATTCACGGTGGGCGGTGGGGGGGGTGACGAGGAACTAGATTAAATTTTTACTTTTGAAAGTATGTGCTCTGTTTTTGTATGTTTCACAAAATTTAATTAATATCCTCTGCCCAGCACAGAGCTCAAATCTAAACTTTAAATTGACCATATCCACCAAGATCTTTGCCAGTCTTATTTTATCAGTGTTTCCTATTGGACGCTTCAAATCATCTTAAGAGTGAAAATTATTAATAACAAAGAGGCAAAAGAATCTGCTACATGATTACATTATTGATTTTTCTTCAATTTTGCAGTAAGCCAGAGTCCAAAAACATTTTCAAAAATTCTTTTTCATTAATAAAATGAACTCCTACCTTCAGGAGACATTTTCGACATCATTTCTCCAAAGACCCTAAAGGCCAGCATGAAGAAAATTTCTACTAACTAAATAAGCCATTTTCTACCAATGAATATGGCTGCTCTCTCACCAGCCAGAAAAATCAAGTTTTGTTTTTAAATTATCTGTGTTCTCTGTACAGGAGTTTAAAAAGTAATAAAATGGAGAGAGAACAGAAAATATTCTGCAAAGGAATTAGAAATAAGCATCTCTGAACAATACAATAACCACAGGAGGAGACCATTTACCTGAACAAACAAAGCAATGATGGCGATGCCATGCGGCTTCCCCACGGCCTCATCAATACTGCCAAACAGGGTCGAGTTCCAGTGGATAAGATGGAGCTGAGTAAACAACAGACAGGTCACCTCATTATTAATGTATTTCCAGTTAGAAAAACAAAGATAGATTAATTCTCCTTAATTGTATCTATTACATCTCTATGGTATCACATACAACAAAAGTATCCCAAGTCGACACAAACAGACCACTGCTTTTTTTTTTTTTTAAGATTTTATTTATGTATTCATGAGAGACACAGAGAGACAGGCAGAGACACAGGCAGAGGGAGAAGCAGGCTCCACGCAGGAAGCCCGAAGCGGGACTAGATCCCGGGACCCCAGGATCACGCCCTGGGCCGAAGGCAGGAGCCAAACCGCTGAGCCACCCAGGGATCCCCCAGACCACTGTTTTAACACAGGTTCTCTGTATGAGTTTTTTTACTTATTTCTAAACAGAGGTGATGCTCAGTGGATCGCTGCCTCTTGCTTTAGGGCCTAATCAGGAGCATAACTAACGTGACTGGCAGATTTCACATTGATTTAGTTGCCTTTCCTTAAATACTATCCCATCTGGCTCTCAGTAGAACAAAACTCTGGGTTTGGGCATAAACACCAGCACTCATGCCAGGGATTAGTACCTGTAAGATTGAATACTGTGTCACCCAGTATTTCCATCAAAAATAAGACAAAGCCAGCCTCAAATTCTGGTAAATTATTTCAGTTCTCTAAGGATATACAGAGATAGCTCCCTATAATGCTGCATCTTCTTAAAGTCATGGTAATATAATGAATGTTGATGTGGAGCCCTAAAAGAAGGCCATTTCCTGCACCGGAGATAAAATTTTATCTGTGAAGGAATGACAAACAATGCTCTAGAGGACTCCCTCACTCCTAGCTTCATAAAGCTTTGTAGCTTTCAAGTTTATCTAGAATATGCACTTGCTCCTACAGCACTGATAAAACACTTGCAAGAAGGCAAATTCAATTCCCTGGTTAAAATCAAATGCCCACTGAGGTTCTTAGTAAAACAGTAGCTAGGTAAACCTTCTGCCTAGAATGCTATCTTCATCACTATAGCTTTTAATCAAGTTATAATTACTTACCACTCCAAAACACTGCCTCATTTAAAAATTAGTTCTAATCCAAAAGGACATAGCTAAAATTCAATCACCATGTCATTTTAGCATCCGTATTAAAACGTGGAGGAAAATCATCATGAGAATAGTCACTAATTTGATTCTTCTACTACTGAATTTCTCCAATTAGAACTCAAAATTGCAAAGCTGACCGCTAGAGGGAGGTAATGAAGTCCTCTGCCTGTAATAGAAAGCCTAACCTAGAAAAAGACCACATTCAAGGCCAAGCTAGGACAGGCTATGAAAAACCAACATGGACCGTGACCACCCACTAAATGTAACTGTCAAGGCACTGCCTTTGAGAAAACAACGCTCTATAACATTTCAATTAATAACGAAAGACAGACCAATTTTAATCTTTCCTCTTCTGGCTGCAACAATAGCACGGAGTCCCAGTGGTAGAGATAAGTGTACAGTGTACAGATAAGAACTGATTGCCTTAATTAAATAAACAAAGGAGGCCCAAGGTTGAAATCTATTTTTATTTGACAAATCACAAAGTTCAAATCAACATTTTTCTTACTTCTCATAGCAACATTATGGGGTATTTTTTCTGAAACGAAACAACCCAAAAATACCCATGATTTGTTTTTGTGTTTTGCCTTGCCACTCCTTATAATTGAGCAGCATCATTACTCACACCCAATCTTCAAAACCTGCTTCATGATTTTTTTGTGTTTAAAAAACTGAGGGTCCTCACTCCTTAAGTGGATGCTGCACATGGTAACTTTGTCTGAGAGAGTAAATTCACAGTGGGAAAATAAACAGACAAACACTCCCTGGGCCGGGTTTGCAAAGTCGGCATCAACAGCCCTAAGTCGTGTTGATCGAGTGCACCCTTGACATGATGTGGTGAAAATGACATTTTATCCCTGTAGTCTTCCCCCCCAAAACCTATAACCCCAGCCTAATTATGAAAAAACATCACACAGATCTCAGTAGAGGGGCATTCTACAAAATACCTGACCAGTATTTCTCAAAACTGTCAAGGTCAACAGAAACCGAGAAAGCCTGAGAAAATGTCACTGACAAAAGGAGCCTAAGGAGACATAAGAACTAAATGTAACAGTATCATGGAGAGCTTTTGGAAAATAAATTAGTTTAAAACCAAGGAAATTAAATAAAATTAAAGCTTAATGTATAATTTTTGGTCCACTAATCATAACAAATGTAACATGCTAAGGTAAGATGTCAATAACAAGGGAACCAGGTATGGGTTATATGGGAACTTTCTGTACTATTTCCATGATCTTCCTATAAAGTTAAAAGTATTCTAAAGAAACATTCTATTAAAAAAAAAAGGAAATGCTGGCACTCAGCTGAAAAAGGATAATTGGAAGATCACTAAGACTCTTGTGTGACTAGCACATAACACGAAATGAAATAGAGGTCCTCTACCACCTGTTTTCCTTCTACCATCTGGGTCTTAAATGACCACCTGGGACTTGGCAATTCAGTGGCAGAAGAGATCCCCCCCCCTCACAATCAACAAGGGACCCAAAATTTGGAAACACAGCTCTGTTCTCCTACTTACTGGAAACCCTCTTCATGTGGAGGCTCTTGTTCTCACTTTAAAAAGGCCAAATATCATTAGAAATCCCCTTTCCACGCCATTAGAATGGGGTCTACTCAAGGACCAGGCAAATTTCCAACACTTTTGGAAATCAGCTGTAACCTAGTAGTAGTAACTGAGAGGCACAATCCACTAACCTAACACTCCACATTTCTGGGGCCTCTCCGCTCCAGTTCACTCTGTGCTCCCCAAGCCCCCACTCCATCTGTATTGGTTTGCTAGGGCCACAGTAACAAAGCACCACAGACCAGGCAGTGCAAACAACAGAAACTTATCTTCTCACAGTTCTGGAGGCTGTTAAGTCCAAGATCAAAGTGCAGCAGGTTTGGTTTCTTCTGAGGCCTCTTTCTTTAGCTTGTAGATGGCCACCTTCTCCCTGTGTCCTCACATCATCTTTCCCCTGTGTGTGACCGTGTCCAAATTTCCTCCTCTTATATAAAGACACCGGCCATACTGGATGATGGCCCACCCGAACAACCTCATTTTAGACTAATTACCTCGATAAAGATCCTGTCTCCAAATATTACTTCCTGGGGTAGCAGGAGTGAAGACTTCAACATATACGGGGAAGGAGGGCATAATTCAGCCCATAACACCCTCTATCTCATTCTTTCCTCTCCCCTGACCTCAAGAAAGTTTTTTCAGATCTCAAAATTTTGAATTATTCATATTGATTCTCCCATACCCCCTCCTTATTCCTATTATCTTATATTTTGCCTCATATTAATCTTGATTCTATTTCATAAAGCAAAGCCATTGGGATGGGAAATTATCAGTGTATACAAAGAACTAAAAGTACCTCTTCCTCGGAGGGTAGCTAGAGTATATGGGTATCTGACTGTGACGAGAAAGATGAAGCCAGAAGCTAGAGAGGTTCAGGTGGCACATAACTTTAAATTTTTTCCTAACTGTATTTTGGGGAATACTAAAGAATACATTAGCCCAGTGAATAGTATTATTATTTTTTCTGCTTAGAATCAAATTCACCCATGCCACTGTCTGTCCTTCTAAGGTCCTGTGGCAGTATGAGGGTGGAAAAGAAGTGGAAGACAGGCATAGGAGGCTGGAAGATAAGCTAAGAGGACATTACAAAAGCTCTAGCTGTAAAATCATGCCAGATGTACATGACGGTTAATTTTATGGGTCAACATGGGTAGGCTATGGTGCCCAGCTGTTTTGTCAAACACCAGTCTAGATGGCTGGGAAGGTAGTTTTTAAAGATGTGATAACATTTAAGTCAGATTAATCCCCATAATGTGGGTGGGCCTCATCCAATGAGGTGAAGGCCTATGAGCAAAGATTGAGGTCCTCTGAAGAAGAAGAAATACTACTTCCAGATTATGACACTTACAAACTCTACCTGAGTTTCCAATCTTTGGCCTGCCCTGCAGGTTTTGGACTGGCCAGTTCCCGTGATCACATGAGCCAGTTCCTTAAAACAAATCTTAGTTTCTCTGTCTCTTTCTCTCTGTGTGTGTCTCACATATGTATTCTCAATATATATTTTGTTTCACTAGAGAATCCTGACCAATAAACAGGTTGTACAAACAAATGAACAAACCAAAAGTGTGAAGACAAATGGAGGTTGAAATATGAACAAGACTAGTAGCAACAGGAATAAAGACAAGGAACTCTAACAAAGTGACAGTATTTGGAATTTACTCTCCTAAGCCTAAGCATGGTTCCCATAGGGAAGGGGAATGGAGATACAAAACAATTCACAGAAGCTCAGAAAATACATAGCAGAACTTCTACTCTTTTTTTTTTATCCTTTTTAAAATTTCAGTTTCCCTATGCTTCACAAAATAATTATATATACAGAAAAAGACAGAAGATAAAATATGTATTAGTGCATGATATACTATACATGCACAGGAGTAAAATTATATATTCAAAAATTTGCTGAGGGACAAATGAGTTTGAAGGGAAAGCCTTCTGACACTAAAGAACATGGTTTTAGAAAATGATGAAGCAACCCAACAAGTCAAAGGGAAGCTTTAGTAGAAGTCCAAGCAGATAATTGTTACCACTGAAGGGAACTCGGAAGCTAGTTTCAAAGTGTGACAGTCGAGACAGGCTCTGGGGGCTGTGTCTGGTCCACAGGACTTTACAGAGTGCAGAGGCAGGGACACACTTTGGCAACCCTACTGATAAATTCTTAGAGGCAACATGCTTTCCTAAAAGGTCTCTGAGCCAGCAATCCCAAGTCTTATTAGACTCTTGGTTCAGTTCATAGCTCTTTAGCTCTGCAAACTTCACAAGTCACTAACTCGTCTGAGCATCAGGATCTGTAACATAAGGAGAGCTGGAACTTCCCAGCTTGGCTTCTTCACACCTCTCTCTGCCCGCCCTGA